TACCCCTGTGTGACTGTGCAGCCTGACTCCATGATTTACCCCTGTGTAGCTGTGTAGCCGGACTCCATGATTTACCCCTGTGTGACTGTGCAGCCGGACTCCATGACTTACCCCTGTGTGGCTGTGCCGCTAGACTCCATGATTTACACTTCTGTGGGTATGCAACTCTTCTTTTTGACTTACACCTGTGTGGCTGTGAAAATAGTAATGAGTTTACCCTTAAATGACATTAAAAGGTTATTTTTTTCAACCCTCAACTGAAATTATTAATGTTTAAGAGTATGTAGTGTTCCTAAACTCCTTATCTTCCCAGGAGCTTTTATGAGAACTCACATTATGACTTAGCCACAAATTAAATGGGAATTTATGAATGTTAGAGGTTTTTTATGCATTTGTAAATATGCCTTTGATATCTATATGAAAATCCTAATTTCACTTTGAATGTATATTAGTTAAGAGTTCAACAATAATTAAGGAATTAAAAACAAATAGTATTACACATGCCAAGTGTTGGTTTGGGAAATGATAGTAGGATCAAACTAATGTGAGCTTAAATTTATGTTGTAGAAAGAGGCCCAATGTAGCGATAGCACCCAAACAGCATGTTTAAAAGAGGACGGGCTTTATTTATTTTTTATTTTTTTGGCTGGGGCTGGGTTGGAACCTGCCACCTCCAGTGTATGGTGCTGGCTCCCTACTCCTTAGAGCCATAGGCGCTGCCCGTGGAAGGGCTTTATTTCGGTGGTGGAGTGAGGGCGCAGAATTCAACACGGTCACACTCCCTGACTGGCTCAGTCTTCTTTTTATCCCCACTGGAAAAATTTCAGCCTACAAGTACTTTTCTCATTGGTCAGTTTGAATCAAGTTGGAGAAGCTGGGTCTGGCTTTTACAGGAATGTGGGTTTTCACAAAGAGGAAGAAGTGTTAGTTTCCAGGTCCCAGGAAGTTAAGTTTCTAAATTCCTAAAAGCTGAGTCACTACAGGGAGGACTGTGAAGGTGTAACCTTGGGGTCTCCTTGAGAAGACCTCCTGTCTCAGATCTTACTTTTTCCGGGTATCCCCTCTCATGTATACTGTCCATTGATCCACCTAACCACACATATATACATATAAGTACACACAGACATTAACACATACCCACGTCCATACAAAGATGTACACTTACACACACATATCCTAGCCTTCTTTCAAATTCTTGAAGGAATTTCAAGCTAGAGCTTTTTTAGACTATTACATCAAACATTGGGGTACTTTAGCTTTCTAGAATCCTTTGGCCTTTTGCATCTCTTACTTACATCATTTTTCTTTTTGATTAATGTGCTGATTTGGGGGAAGCTTCAAAACTTTTCTTCAAACTACCGAACCAGTTGGGTACACACCTTAGTGCCTCCATCTTTTTTATCAGATCACAGGTATTTTTAAAACTGGTCCCAGATTACCAGCATTCTTTCCTTTTTCATGTAATTTATCTTTAATTCCTACTTCCTCCCCCTCTTAACCCTCAGGCCCTGTCACCTTTCATGATTTGTCTTTCTTAGGTTCTGGCTCCCAGAGAGATTGTCCTGCACAAGTCTTGGGTAGATGTCTTGCTTGTCAGTCCAGTTTCCTAGTGTACTGAAGCTCATTCTGATTTCTTTCATTTGGAACCTTAGCAAGACACAAAGACAAGCTGAAAAATTAAAGTGCACCGATTTACTCACTAAGTAGATTTATATTCACTCACTGAGTGCTGTTTATATGCGTGCAGATTGTGAGGGCCACGGTAAACATATCCTAATCTTTACAAATGTGAGTGCAGTGGGGAAGGGACTTCAGGCGACCAACCTTGTGTCAGTACTAAAGAGACCAGTTAAGAGGAAGTGGCTGGACTGTTCCTGGCTGCTGGCCCAGTCCTGCCTCCCCAAGAGCCCATTGTCACCCTCCGTGTGAAGTGGGACTGGATCACCCAGTTTATTGTGTCTTTTCCTGCGGACAGGCACTTGTGTCCTCTACAGCTGGGAAGAAAGTGCTGTTGGAGTCAGCCAGCAGAGCCCCTCTGCTCAGTGCAAGGGTTACCTCATCTGTTTCTCTGGACGAAGACACACCAAAATGCTTATGCTGGCTGCTGTGGCACCTGTGTTGCGTGTGTGTGTGTGTGTGTTCATTTTCCAAAGATTACACATCACTTTGCAATGGAAAGAAATTCAAAGTGTGTAATTATTGGAAAGTAAAAACAAAGACTGGCAGCTTGCTTTGCGATCTTTTAAGCACCCTTCACATGAATGTATGTGTTTAATCCTTCCAATAAACCACATGGCATGGGTATTTTTTTCCTGTTTTACAGTTGAGAGAGGTAAGATCAGCTCAGTTGCCCAAGGTTGCTCAGCCAGAACTTGAACTCAGGCCCTCTGACTCCTAGACTGTCTATCACACCACCTCAGCCGTTACATCCTGAAATGTCACGTCTTCACCATATTGGAAAGACAGCTTCTTGTCCTAGCTTAGGAATTGACTTTCTCTGTTCTTAAAGCTGATATAAGGTAAGGAGCCGGCTTGGATCACCTGTCTCCTCCCAAACATCCCTTTCTCCAGCCTAAGTTCAGAGTCTGTGGATCTTGGGTGTTAGATGACTTCCAGGAAGTCTTCTTCCTGGAAGACTTCTCAGTGTCCCTGGGAGATGTCCACAGGCTTTGACTTCACTTGAATAATGGGAAGAAATGATTAGAATTTTATACCCTTTATATATATACTTAGCCACTGAGATCTACACACTGCTCAGCGCCTCTGACTGACCAGCAAGTCTTCCACTTCTGTTTACTAGTACTTTCCCATTTACACAGCAGCTGGTCATGAGCATCTCAATTGCCCTTCACTGCAGTCTCAGAGGGAGCCCAGAAGGAATGGGCTCCCAGTGGCCTGATGGTAAGTTGAGGCTGCACAGATTAGGGGAGAACCTGGGTGCCCACCCCCCCACCCAGGTTTCTTTCCTTTCTGCTTACCCAGGGTTCTTGTTCACACCACTATCTGCAGTGTATGGCAATTTATCTTATGTAATATCTTTTCATTGCAAATTTTATTTTAAGATAGGGAA